CGTCACTCTCGGATGTTATTGAAGTTTAAAACGTACAAACTCATTAGGAATTGTTATGTGATTGTATATATATAGTGTATCCTCAATCAAACTTTGTTAAGCATGAATTCAGAATTGAGACTAACAATTATTGTCAATGCATTTGTGTTTTTGTACTGGCATTCCTCTCAAACGTGTTATGAGATATTTTGCTCGGTCCAAACGACGATAGAAATAGAGTTTTACAGTTGTACAAGCACAAAACTCTTTTGAAGTTGCGATATATCAACAAGCCAGCATGCACTAGGTATATCTTATTTTATTAAAGTGAAGGAGATTTTATGCACATCAGGTTTACCAATATACAGGAATATTAATTCTAATGTTTTACGTTTTATAATTGTGTACACCATTTTTAGTCTAAGGATGACTTATGCTTAGAATTCTTGTAATTTCATGTGAATTACTTGTTTTGCAATGTCAGGAATTACTGAGATGTTCTAAGCTATAGTAATCATATGTCATTGTACTCGTTCTTTCTGCCAGGTTTGTTAAAAGATATATAAAAAAAAATATACAAGGATATTCTTTATTACAGTTTGATCTTGCAAAATAAAAAATAAAAACATCATTTTTATATTGCATTCTCTTTCTTTCTTGAAGGCTATCATCTTAACTTCTTATAACCCATATCTATTTAATTTAATTCAATTGAAAAAAAATATGGAAATTTATCTTTATGAAATACCCTGCAATGTTTGTGGATGAAATAGTAAATATGTTTTTTAATATTCACTTCTTATTAATAAGATATTTTTGTCTTAAAACAGGAAATAAAAGAGAGAATAAGTGTTTTCGTTTTTACAGTATCACTCGAATACTCCAGGTGTTAAAGGCCAAACCTAATTAGGATTGAATAATCAACATCAGATTCATAGTTATGCAGCGCTTGGAAAGGAAAAAATATTCGGCAACTTTTGGGTGATGTTTTTGTTTTTGTTTTTTTAATGTCTTTTAATTTCAGAGATGATTATATAAACTACAAGAGACTTTAAGAATGTTCACAGTTTGAGTATGCGAGTGTGATAATATCTAGTAATATGCTTTTGTTGATTTTTTTTTATTAACAAACAAATCTTTTTTATATTCCAACTAAGACAAGATTGCTGTTTGTTGTTGTTTTGTTTTGACGAATTCTTAAGACTTTTGTTAATTTTTAAAATAATACTTTACATCACATAATCAAGAGAGAACATAATGAGACGTCACATGCAGCCTATAGATTAGAAATATGATTTTTCAATAAATAAAGGAATTATTGTTAATAAGTTTGAATAAAATACAAATTGCTAATATATGCACGATGACTTCCTGCTACAAACGACTGTGTGTCTTTTGTGTAGCCTTACAACAGGAGTTTTATTGATTAGGGACGAGTCTAATGGTAGGCATGTCTGTATCCTCCAGGTGACATGTACTCTTCTGTAACATTTGTCATACTTATGTCACTCCAGTCTAAACAACAAACAACATAGATAGGTTCCACTAAAACACACTATCTTAAAATCTCATTATTTTGTTCTTAGCAACATGTATATCACAAAATAAATGGAGCATATTTGTCGCCTATATTTGGTTTGGCTTAGATTTCAAGTCAGCGACAACATTAACTTGTATCCTATAGTGTTTTAAAATAAGGGATTACACAGGAATTATGTCATATTGCTTTTATGCAAGTAACATTGTCTTAGCATCTTTAGATCATTAGTAGCCTTATAAGTGAAACTGATCACAATTGAATACAAAAGATTAACTTGATTTATAAATGTAACCTATTTTAAGTTGAGTAGTAAAGGTAAAATTAAGCTTTTATTCTCTTTTGATTTAGAGATTAGAATATTTTGTTTAGATCTTACAACGCGATGAAACATTGGTTAAGCAAAAACTTTTAATTTGATAGATAATTGTCCCCAGAAGCAAACAATCATAAGAGGATATGTGCAAACATTGCGTTAATACTGAAAAAAGGTTAGCCAATCAAGTCTTATTTTTGTAACTATTTCTAACATATCTCATGATTTTAAAAACAAATGCATTGAAAATACATCATTCACAAGTTAATTTCGAGTTTATTATGTAGATAAATCAAGCAGGTTATATATTATCAGTTAAAATAAGGAGCTTGAAAATAAAATCAATGTCGCAGAAGACAAATATTGTTTTGATTGTATTTGGTTAGAAAGATATATTTATTCTAGTTCCATAGAAATAATTATGTGTTTGGCATTGCTAAACAACATAAAACACAGACTGTGTATTCGCCATAAGCAATAAAATTGTATTATTTATGTTTAAAATTCATGACAACTTTGAGATCATTTTGACCGGCTGATGCAATATTTTATAAGATACATTCTACCATGTTTATCGAGAATATACATTGTTTCTAAATGGTGCGTGATCAGTTAGGAAATAGAAAAATGTTTTATGCAAGATCCTCAATTACAATTATAATCTCCAATATTTTTTAATATCTATTTTTGACGTGAGTCACCACAGTTATGCCTCAAATTAAACAAAAGAAGACTAGAAATGCATCCATGTATGAACTAGTCGGTCAGAATAACTGTCTGTAGACTAGGATAGCCTCTGATTTGTAACATTTCACAGATCTACTCAGATCGTTCAGCTATGTCTTTTAGATTTATCGGTTTGCTGACCAAAATTTTAATAAATATTAAGACTATATAAATCCCCAAATGTTACAATAAAACAAAGAATATATTATAGATCTAAGGAGTGTAATGCAAAGAAAATGTAAACAATATCTGTTTTACAACAACTATGAAACAAGTTGTTACAACGTATAAAAATCACTCTTGTTGGCTCAGACGGAACTGGCAGGAGTCTGAACTAAGAAATATTATGGGCTAATTATTTCATTATTACTATCCTTTTTGAAATGCTCATGCATAAAATCATAAAAAAACATTACGTTATGTGACATTTTGAATATAACTTCTTACATATTTACACGTAAATAAGGTGTATTTCTCATTCGGTGCATGTATGGTTCAACCTTTTGTTAGGCAATCCTCTAAAATTGTCCATACAGAACGTATTACTCTTAGCCAGGAAAGTTAGTTCAGTCAGTATTCATATACGTCCTGATTTGTTCCTCCATTGTGAGGACACGGTGTATGTATTTAATGTTTTCTTAATATGATTGAGGTTGTTATTAAAATGTATATCTCCTTAAGTGTTCAGCTACATATCTGTCCCGTATTGTCATTGAAACCGCATCTGTGCATGTAAAATATTGACACTTTCAATTACCGCAACATTGGATGAATTCATTTGAATAAGAAAAGGGTCTGAAGTGAGAGCATGACACGACGTATTGAGAATACAGATACTCTATGTGACAAGCAATTTAAATCAACTCGGACAAAACACTTCAGAAAAAGTCAACAAAAAGTTGAAAAAATTCTACAAAACTGAACCACAAGGCCCAAATCTGTATGCAATTCGCCTACTGAGTCTGTATGATACAGGATTAACCTAAATTGAATTCGACATTTTCAAATGCAGTAAATCTATTTAGTCTGCAACACGCTATTTCTGAACACCATTAAACAGAACTAATCGTTCATAGACAAACTGTAAACATAGAATGCTGGGTGAGACATGTGTTATATAACATTGAGACAAAATGTAACATTTATTTGTTTTGTTTTGCATATTATAATTGAAAAAAAAAATCTATTTTTTATAGACAGAATGCATATGTATTTCATCCTTGATATTTTGTATTGAGATATTTTATTCAGAAATATCTTTAACTGATTACAATTAAGTTCGGATGTTGATAATTGGTGAAGTTGCAATATTTTCAATTAAATCTAAAGTCGTTAGCTTGTGTTTGGTTTATAATCCCCTTTATCATTATCTATTTATATCAGAAATAGTGCGATGCGTCGAAATTTAAGTTTCGATGTTATATTACAAGGTTAGGCAATAGAAGTCAGTTTTCAAAACGAATTTCGAGAATTGCTGATTTTTCTGCGAGACTATATTACTTGATCGCTTGGTTTTTCAGTTTCATAAATTTACTTTGCATTCATTTCGATATTTATTATAGCATTGTTTGAAAACAGTAAGTCAATTAAGTTTATTTTACTTCTGTTTTCCATAAATATTTAATTATAAAGTTGCTTTTTACATTGACATGTATACTGTCGTTACGTATTTCCCCCCAAATATCATGTGTGAATTCTTTATCAAAATCATAATGAGCTTTGAGATATCGCAAGTGAAATATGAATTGTGAAATGAGAAAACAATGCAGATTCAACATAATATATTGACTTGTGATTAGTCCAAGGTATAACAACAGCAACACGAAAGACTTTAGTAAGTATTCTTAAAGTACAACATATCAGACTTTGCAGTGATTAATCTGAATAAGTTAGGTGTGTGTAAAACATTCTATAACCGAGATTGTAAGTTATGATAACAATTATCAATATATTGGAATAGGGATATAAAGTAAAGTACCATCATTTATAATAAACAATAAAATGTTAAAATTTTGCTTCTAAACTGCAAATCAATTTCTTTGAAATATTGAGGCGTGCATGGAATGAAGTATTTACGTTTGTTTTTGTTAAATATTACAATTATTTTATGTTTGCACACGATATACAATGTTTGACATCTTTTAAATAAATTTAAGCGTCAACGTAGCAAAACACGTTTTTCACAGAAAACATCCACCGCTGTATCCGTTAAAATGTTTCTTTTGCCGAGCAGTTAAAACAGTGGTGCATTATTTGAATTGTTTATTACATGTTCTATTTACATGCTTCATAATGCGAAATAAATTGTATTGCCAAGAACGAAAACCAATCTACATCCCACATTTTCCCCTTTACTAGAAATTGGAATTAAAATGTAAGCCACAATGTATGAAATATTACAACAGTTGAAAATAAAACAAATTCAAAAAACGTTTTGTTTTGTTTTGTTTTATTCACGTGATAATATAAGTGAATAATTAGACATAACAGTCATGTCTTACCTGTGCTATAACACCATAGAAAACATGAATTCTTCAATTCAATTGAAAAGAATTAATATCACTTAACTTTTAGCAATTACCAGCGTTCAGGATGAAAACACAGCTCCAATGTTCGGTTCCCTTGCAGTTTGGTTAACTTATGAAATATTACAATAACCATCAAGACGTCTGTTCAATTGACAAGACAAGTCCATGTTCTCTTTTCGATTGTGCCATTTTGATGGAGCGCTCAATGTCTAGTCCCGTTGTTGAAAGATTAAGGGCTGAACGAGCACTAGCTATAACATTCTGTTCGCTTTGGTATGAAAGAGCCGAATACGGCGAAGGTTTGATAGGTAGAGGAACAGCGGGTATTCGGTGGTGGGACAGTGCGTGGTTTGATTTCAGGATAGTTTGATACTCCGCTGCCATTCCATACGAGGAAGCAAGCGATGATAATATCTCTCCAGTTGAGTACGGAGTCACAAAGTTAGAACACGACATCGTACCAGCAAATTGAGTTGCGAACGCTGGCAGAGGGGTGGGTAGAATTGGTTGGGGAAGTACACCACTCGTCTTGTTTTCCGGGGCAATAATATTTTCTATCGTAAAAGGTTGTTTGAATGAGCTCAAATTGCCATGCCCTGTCAGGTGACCATACGGCTGGAATCTCGGTGACTGTTGAGGTGCGTGATTCACAGGAGACAATTGGGTCCTGTCTGCAAAATATGGTGATTCCAAACACTGCCTCAGGGGGTCTAAGAAGGCTCTTTGCATGCTGTTTAGTTTGAATCGCTTTCTCCTTCTCAAAAAACTTCCATTTTCAAACATTTCTCCGCACATTGGATGCAGGGCCCAGTAGCTACCCTTTCCTGGACGGTCCGGTCTTCTCGGAATTTTGATAAAACAGTCATTAAATGACAGATTGTGTCGGAGGGAATTTTGCCATCTTTGAGTATTTTGTCTATAAAACGGAAATCTGTCCATGATGAATTTATAAATGTCATTCAATGGTAGCATTTTCTCCTGTGAAGACTGAATAGCCATAGCGGTAAGTGCTATATAGGAGTACGGAGGTTTCTGTTCATTGTAAGTGTTTCGTCCTGGTCTAGGCATGATGAAGACACTTAATCCTACAAACACATACAGAAAAAAGGGCGAGAAAAAAATACAGCTTACTGAGGCAAAAGACAGTAATTTCTTCTTCACAAGTTTGTTAAGTCCAATGTTTACACTCCTTGATCACTTTCACGACAACTCTTCCCCGGTCCGGTCATTATCAACAGATGATGTGGAAAAATCTTGCTTCTTGTCTTGTAACATCACATGTACCTTCCAGTCATTTGTCAAGCGCAAAACAAATTTCATTCCGTTTACAAACAGTTGATATAAGGCTGAAAAACATCCATTCGCGTGTGTCCTATTATATATCGTTACTAGCATTCGACGTGTCAATCTTCCGGCAGGGGGCGGTATGCATCCTATTTGTATACAAATGATGCTAAACATTCCACGAATGACATTTGGTAAGGGGCTGTCCTTCACTAGAGGTCATGACATGGTGGATTCATCTGAGCAGGACAGGAACATCCCATACACGGCTACAATGGCGAATGGATTTGAAATTACTGAGACATTAATCTCGGCTTCTCGTAAGGTATTAAAGTATTAGGCAGTCGTCCTGCTTGAAAAGACACACGTATGTCTGTCAAAGAAATCGCTTGAAAACGAGAGAGGTCCAAATTTGTCAATACAAGCAATAAACTTAGGGCCTTGATCGATGTGACGCTGTTCTGACAAAGAAAGCGTGAAGTGCCAGCGCTCTAATTAAGAAGTGGCAATTTAATGGACTCTGTCTGGATGCCTTAGGTACCAGTGTTGACGCTAATATGCTTCAACCCCGATATCCGCTAGAAAATCACTTCCGACATTACACATTCATTCCAATAACAAGCTGGCGATTAATTAGCTACTGTATTAATAATAAGGAAAAGAATACCAGCTAATAATGATAGACTTAATCAAATGTATGAATACATATTTTACCTTTAATTCCATTCTAATTTTTATAACGCTTGTTTTCATTTGAATACAGAAAAGAATTGGAATAGTTTTTTCTATACAGGAGACTCCAACTAATTTGAAAAAGTTCTAGAAAACTATAATGTCTTATCATCCAATGTTTTTGATAATGTTATACATTGAAAGTATCCTATTCCATTTCATGAAACAAATATATATGGTAACATAAGCGAACTTCATTTGAATCAAAAACGAAAACAGGGGAAGAAAATTGTAATGGCATAGTATTGCTTGGTTTCGTTTAAATACATTTATCTAGATTTCTGTCGTGTGCAATTTTATATGAAAATAATAAGTTAAACATAATCCTCTGTTAGGCTATCTAAAAATGGCTGGTTTTAAGGTTTCAAAGTCGTGGATGAGTATCTTTATAAAAATATACAAAGCCAGTTGATACCATCAAAAGATTCATACGATGTTAGAAATGATTTCGCAACTAGAAGATCAAGTAATAAACACGCTGTTTACGGGATATAAAACCACGGTATATTGCCGATTGAGATATTAAAATGATTTAGTAATGGTAACGCACTGTGGGAATCAGTATGGGAGGGAGTTATGTCATCATACGGCCGAGCTCGGTCCCATTTAGCTATAACGTAATATCATTTGTACAAAAGGATTGGTGTACTTATACACACAACTATAGAATATATTTATATATCTAAATGCGTTTGAATGGACATTACAAAATCTCAAAAGGTAATACAACAAGACACAGACATTAAATGTGGACCATTTGTTACCGTAGACTGTGCAAGTAAAAAATAACATTGGAAATGTCCTTTAGTTTGTATTATATAAACGTCATTTCTGCATTTCCTTTTGAACAGTTTAAAAATAGAATAAAATCCATTTGTTTTTATTTCACTTTATTTATTATGGAATTTAAAAAAGATGTAACTGTTTTATCAAAAGGATAAGCTAACACTGCCGAATAGAATGGAATACCATGCAATTAGAAGTTTAGTGTTCAAAGCAAAAAAAAAAAAACATAATATTATAATGTTAAAAATAGCATCAAAATGTACACAAAATCGTCTCTTTGGCTTTTTAAAATTATCGTATGGATTTGCATTTTTTCTATTTTTGTTTTGTTTTGTTTTGTATTTTTATAAATGGCTATTATTTAAATTTCAATAAAAAAAAATATTTTAAATTATTAACTAAATATTCTAAGTGGGCCGTAAGACGTCAGCATTACCATCGGTGATTTGTAACATACAATGGCTGAAATTTTGTAGAGTTTTAAACACATCATAAATAGATATTGCAATCAAAATTAAATACCTGTAAGATAACCATTGAAATCATGTTTATCGCTAGCTATGTAGAAATAGCTAATCGCGAAACTATGACATGAAGATACTTCAGGTTTTATTATTAACCGAATAAATAATACCGGGAATTATATTAACTGTATATGTGAAAGCGAAACTGATAACAAATACAATTGTATGCTTATACATATTCTTCCCAGTTGCATGTGGTACAATAGTTTAAGAACTAACAACAAGTATTTTTATAACACTCCTGATAAATATTACCGTAGGGCATTGAAATGTAATCTTCTGTATGGTACAATGTGATAAATATAAATATATTATCCCAGTAGTCAGATCTTCTTTGTGGCTGCTATTCATCAGTTCTCATCCATTAATCAAATCAATGAATTTCAACAAAATAGGTTCCAAACATTTAAGTGCCATTTTAGGCTATGGCAACGTTATGTCATTATGTCGTCCTAGGCGTCGATTTTTTCCCGTCGTTTTTGTTCGGTTCATGCTTTTGGAAAACAAAATGGACATTACAGCGGGTTGATGATGAGTGATGTTTTGCAGAAAATATAAAAATAATTGCCTACCTATTCGTTCTTCTGACGTCTCAAATTGCCCTCGTGTTTTTGTGCGAATGAATATATTTCACACGCTCTTAGGTCCTCGTATAACATATCCATACGAACAATGTGGGAAGTCAGATGAACACATTTGTGTTATTTCCCTATCTATCTATAATGCAATAACTTCACCATTTATATCATATCAATTATACACTAAAGAATACATACAAGCTGGTCAGAATACTATGTGTGGCTGCCACTACTTTATAACAAACAGTAGTACTAATGACAGAATGGTACATATAGGCACCCTGTTCATACTAATAGGAATTATACCTTTATAAAAATGAAAATAAATGAAAGATTACATCCCAAGTATTTTATTCAGTAATCAATTTCGATCAAATTAGTAATATTTATATTTTACATGGTAACCTCCAATTTAAACTTAGTGATTTGATTAATTACCCAGGAAAAAACTTTTCAAACAGAAAAAATGCTATTATGAATAACGTCAATGTTTATAATGAGAGAATCGTAAGCTGATTGGTGGTCTTTGTCTCTGATCTTTATTGTTATTGATGATGTTTTCAATTAAACGAACGTAAAGCTGAATTTCTCACCAATTAGACGCAAAGTAAATTTGGATGAAACCCAACATAACATTGTCACCATGTGTACAGTGTATAGACGCGAACTACTGAATTATTTATACAGAATCATTATCGTATGTGAATAAACGGGCATGCACCGCCGTCGTAAAAACTCTATTTTCTTGACATTATACATTCCTGGTTGCCGATCATTTGAATTTCCTTTTTGCTTGTATGGTCACCTACCATAGGTATAATCGTCGCCCCGCCAAGGTTTTATCCGAGGCCCTAGCGGTGACTGGGCACCGTATTTAAATCTCATTAGTCACTGACTAAATGGTGTGTTAAACTCTGGTAAGCGATTTGGTAGCGCCGATTGGATTTTACCAATGATGCTACATGAAAACGTCTGGATTGCAAAACATTAATTCCTGATACATTGCATGGCACATTTGTCACCAGAGAAAAGAAACACTGTATTTGAAAGGGATTTGTGCAGTGAGCCTTAAATATGTTTCAAATAGACAGGAAGATGAAAAGATTACCATCGAACGTTTTGTCAATAACGTGATCATGAAGATTAATTTGTCCGAGGCGGTCGAATTTACATTACTTACATTGTTATTAACGCCCTATTGAAGTTGCTACATTGTAGGGACGAATGATTATTTACATTGTAGGAAATATATACAATGATGAGGATATCTCAAAACCTAATAACGACATATCTTCATTTTTTGTTAATTGCATATGTATATGACCATATAATAATATTTATGTCCGCGATTATAAATATCACTGATATTCATATTCATCGTCATCGGTAATTAATACTTTGTGTACATGTCCCCTTAATATTTCTGCCATTCTACGAAAATAATTTATGAACTTACTTTCAATATGATTTAATTATTACTATATCTGCTGTCAGTATCGTATATCTAACTTAACGAAACGGACATTGTATAAGTACTAAGCACTTTGTTTTCTAAACATTTTCCTCAGGTTGGTAAGTATGGATTATGAAAATTATTTTTACACAACCAATAAAAATTTCTATGTGACGTTTCGATGACTAGTACGATATGTACACTGTCACCTTCATCAGACAAAATGAACTTTTCATAATCAGTATTTAGTACTTGTTTCCGAATCGTTGCTGGTTATGTATTAAAAGCATAATGTATTGTATATTAACTAACAAATGTATAACAGCTTTACGTATGTATAACTATTTACCAGCTTTATAACAACAGTGCAAAAATAATAATAAATGTCAAAATGTGTATGTTACATAGTAATAATCATAAAAGTAAGTTTTTTGTCAATCTAACCACAGAAAAAAGTAATCCTTTGACATATTGACTCACACATGCTCGTTTCAAAAACATCAAGCAGGTCAAAGAAATGGCTAAGAAATTCATGCGACGAAAACAGCATGCGTCTTCATTTTCGCTTTCAGTGGATGTGTGATAGAATATGTTGAATGCATCTTTAAGGGAGAATGTATGTAAATATACCTATATATCAATATCGCCAAAAAATGCAACATTAGAATACCGAAATGTATGCAAAATATTAAATCGAACTTAAAATCGATCAAATTATTGCAAAATATGAGCAAGTAAAGATTTACATGTATATGATTAAAAAACGTGCAAGAGGAATAAGACCAGATGTTCCAAAAGTGTAAGGGATTTCCTAACTTCTATCAAAATAGAATCATTCAAGTAGATATTGTATCGATTGGCTATTATAGCAATACAGCCAGCTTCAGGCAAAAATAAGAAATGAAGCCTTTTCAGAATATCACTCTCCATGAGAAAGGGGGACACTATATCACTCGTTTCACGTGCACACATACACGGATACTCCAAAAACACATCTGT